GCGCATAAAATCTTGGCACCTCGACCGCGTGTCTATAAATACGCCCCGGGAACCCGATACTCCCAAGGCCAACCGTCGGCGGGCCGCTGCTCGCGGGAAAATCAGTCGAAGCACACACTCCACCGCGGCGGAAACGTTTTCATCGTCTCACACATCGGAAGGATCGCGCTTGGTACACCCTCATCTGTCGCGGGGCGTATATATCTTGGAAATCAATAGACTGCTCCGCAGTAAAAAAAAAAAAGTTTATCAGCTGTCTCGGCGCTTTGTCTCCTTAGACAAGTATACAGTATCCGCGCGATTTCCTCGAACCGTTATACACGCGCTCTCGCTCGGTTTTCGGCTAATAATACACCCGCGCGCGCGAGGGGCAACACACGCGAACGACGAAAGCGTCGCGTCTTCGGTACGCGCGCCCACGCCGAGAACTGCTACTGCTCCGCTTACCTTAAATTCGCCGAGCGATTTTAGTATCCCGGCGGACGCTAGACCCGCGCCACCCACCACCCCGCCCTTTGGCCCGAGCTTAGATTGCTCTTGTTTCTCGGAGGGGAAAATAAGAAAAAGCTCACGTGCTCTTTGAAGTCCTCGCCGCGACAATTATTACCGGCCCCTCTGGAGATGTCGCTCCCTCGGGGTGGTTGCGTAAGTCGCTGAGGTTTGGGGAGAGGCGGTCGGGGCAGATTGATCATCCCCTCGGATTGATTCATCCGCTAGTGTAGTTGTTTTGTTGGGACTCTCGGTGAATGAAAAACAAAAAATAAAACAAAAGGTGATTTGGAGGCAAAATTCATTTCCCGAGACTCGTCGAGCCACACGGCCATAACGGAGAGGGAGACTTGTGAAGCCCCTGGGCCCTCTGAAGCGCCAGGGGCCACAGCTGCTGCCTCGCGCTCCATAGGGTAATGTACCTGTTTGTCCTTTTTTTTTTTAAAAAAGAAAAGTGGTACGTCTCTAGTTATTTATTCGACTGCAAAATCTGTAGACTATAATGTAATGGTAAAACCCTATACTACGGGAAGGAAATCAACCGAGCTGGTATAGAGTCATCGACTGTGCAACGCGACTGCAACGTTCGATGCCCCCGGCGTATTTAATTGTTATGTCCGTAGACGGGCAAGTAGATACAGCCATAGCCACGCATCGGTATGCCCGACGTGCATGCACGCACATATTATACACGCGTCGACCAACTATATATATGTATGTATAATAGCTTACCAGTGACGGGAGGGAGAAATCGCTCGGTGGTATTCTTCCTTCTTTGGATTCTTTGGACAAAAATATATACGGATTGCGTGACTCTCGTTTGAAGAAAGGGGGGAAACCCGAAATTTTTTCGATCTCGGTTTCGACAATTTTGACACCTCCATGCGGATAAAGCCAGTGAACACCCGTTTTTTTAATTTGGTTGAGATATCCCGTTAGATTATTCGCTTTTAAACGCCGAGGGTGCGTGTTGTAAGAAGCGCGAAAATCCACCAACTACATCTTTCTTCTTTTTGTTTTTGCATACATCCTGTTAGCACGAAATCGCTCGATCCATTCTGGCTCGCCGCGCAATTGAAATACTCGCCTCTCCGCTGAATACTTCCCTCGGCAATATCTCCCAAGTATTTCACTTGTCTTTCATCGCAAGGAATGCATCTCTTGGATCCGAGTCAAATGGCCGAATGAAAATACTAGCCGTATATTATATACTTGTTCAAGAATGCATCTCTTCCTCTGCGCCTCGTGCTCGCAGACCCTAAAAGACACATATACATACACAGCAGCCTCGTACATTTTCCACAACCCCTTGGGGGGTAATTTTTGTCTTGGAAAAACCACCGATCGCATATGGTATATTTTTTCTTGAGATGTACCCTATATACCAACAACAAACTGCCACGATTCGGGAAAAGAGAAAAAAAAACAAATCACAGTCTCGTTTGAAATTCCATCGAGCCCACCATGCTGAAAACTGCTCTCATTACCTGCGCGTTCACAGACGCCCCTTACACCCCGTTTCCGCGGGCAAGTCATTTACCTACGCTTAAACACGCTCTTACACAATATATATAGGGACACAACGATGCGCCTCCTCTCCGGTAATTGCGTTAGGCTCTCGCGAGCTTTTCAGCGGCCACCGCCTGCTGCGCGAGTTCCTTATCTGAGGAAATTCAATTACAGCCTCTCTCTCTCTCTCATTCTCAAGGAACCAGAAACGGTGTAGGCTCCTCGCTCCACGTTATATGCACACGTATATATATGCACAAGGGATGAGGAAACGGCGCGGCTTTTCCTTTTCGGTGCAACTCTTTGTCCGAGCCGCTGCGATGACTCGTGAGAATCAACCCGCGATTTCCCAACACGCTCCATTCAACGCAACCATGTCCACACACGAAAACATCTATAGGTCTCGGTTTTTTCGCTACGGTATACTTGAATAATTCGGACATTAATGTGTCGTAAACGTGTAATATAACAATTACTTGAGATGACTAAAAAAAAAAAAAAAACAGTTGCAAGTACTCGTGGGAGGAAAAAACAAAACCTTGCCAGAGAGAGAGAGAGAGAGAGAGAGATAACGCACTTACGTGTACTGTACGCAGGTGTCTGTAATAGTAGTACAGCAACAGTGCACGTACTCCCCAATTACGAACCATCGCAACAGCGTAAACAGCTGCTCCTCCATACGGCCACATTGTCGTCGCTAAAATTATACTTTTGGTTATTCCGTTCGAGAACACGAGTGCAATAGCTAAATCCAGCCAAGTTGATCTCATCCCGAGTACGTATTATATTATAATATATAGTGGAGTTTATTTTTAAAAGAGTCAAAGAGATGAGAGAGATATGTACCTACGCGCGAGCGCGCCAAATCGAAAGTATATTTTATAAGGAGCGTAAGCGCCACTTTGACGAAACGAAAGTTCAGAGTGTGGGCATTAGTACCTAGATGGATGGTAACGGCTAACGCTCCATTAAATTAGGCATCGAGGCGACTCTCCGCTGTGCGTGTACGTATATTATACCTACCAACAATGACGAAACATTCAACGAGAGAGCTGCTCTGCTGCCCGTATCCGTGTTACTCAGCGTTTTTCCAGGCTGCGAATATCGCTTTCCCCACCATCGTTTTTTCGGCTTTGATTGCCTCGCTTTCGACAGGTGTAGTAGAGAGAGGACACCGTGTATTGTATTGTGTACCTATCTATATACGTGTATGGCTAAGAAGTAAGTGTAACTACCCCTCGAAAAGAGAATGCTCCTAAATCATCCCTGTCCGGTCTATACCCTTAGATATAGTTTCGCCTCGTGATAAAGTCGCCATCTGGTTTATCTTTGCTCTTAGTTGTTCATTTTTTTATAATATTGTTTAGCGCACGTGGAGGCGACTGACATCGCGTGGATTGATCGACAGTGGCCGAAGTTCATTAATTTGTACGTGGGGTGTATATATGTATACGCACAAAAGGCCCTGTAATGGGGATTCCGCGGCGTAAACTATTCCACGCGCGGACTTGAGCGAAGCGAGCTTGGAATTTAAAAATATCGATCGGCGCCTCCACTCGCTTTGTTCGCGATTCCGCTGCTTCGTCTTCTTCGCTTATGTGTGAGACTTTTTCGCGACGGCTTTATTTGTACGGAGCTACGGGTAATTGAGTTGCAATGCCGGACTTTTCCTTTTTTTTCTTTATTAGAGAAATAGGGGGGGTGCGTTTTCTCGAGATGACATATTATTCGTGTCGGCGAATGGTTTCTCTTATTTTAGATATGTATATATTATCACGCGGCAGATAAGTTTGACGTCTCCGTTAAATCGTACATTAATGATATTACAAATGAACAGTTGCCGTACCCCTAATGGACATGTACGGAAATACTTTCACTTTATTCGACTTGACGCCATTAATCTCTATCAATGTCCGTATAATAAATACGTACCTGCGTTACGCTTGGCCGAGTGTAAATAAATAATCAAATAACATTATGTTGCACAGTAGCAACGGTGTTTTTCTGTTACAAAAAATACGTGTAACTTGTTAATCCTGTTTTCACTGCCATGTGTTTATTTGCTGATAATGTGGTTTGACGTTAATGGTACAAAATACATTGTTGTCGTTACTCCTAAAGGCTTTAACAATTTACATACAGTTGGAAACCAGGTATACAATCGTCTATATTATTATAATTTTAATTTTTTTTTAAATTAATTGTACCCAAAAACAGTTGAGTATAAAAAGAGAATGTGCCCTGGATTTTAACTTTAACCTCGATCCGCACCTGATCGGGTACTCGTAGCCTTAATCTTTGCTAATCTTTTCAAGTCAATGCTACCATAGATGACCTTACTTTTAAAACCATTAGCTATTTCAGCACAATTGAATTGTTGAAATGAATCGAGACACGAACATTGTCAGAGTTTATACTAATGTAAAAATGTTTATTAAATGTACAGAAATTTATCAATAATAATAACAATTGATTTCTAAATATAAGTAGTACTGCTCAGGAAATACTTTTCCAATTAACGGTATACGTAATGCGAGAACAAAAATGGCACGCACCAAAGGCAGCAAAGAAAATACGACGAATGCACGGAATACCATTCGAACGTAGCACGGTAGTATAGCATGGTTTCATTAATTGAACAGCTGAGTGGCCATGTAATGTCTGACAGTCATGGCGATAAATCATTTTTTTTTCTCTGTCTCTCTATTAGTTCGATTTCTATTTTTTCAGCTTCAGTTGTAGATACGATGGCTCGCGATGGTTGGCCCAAAACACGATCGTTTAGTTTCCTCTAGTCTCTAGTAAATTAACAAATTTATTTTCTCTGCAACTTTTTCACTTGATGTGTTTCACTGAAAGTACACCTATACGATGACTCTGGGAATAAAATATAGACGTGTTGAAATATATTAATAGTTTAGAATTAAGCTTTCAAAACTATACACAATGGATTTGAATCACAAAAAAAATTAATTGCATCGATGAATCGTTGTTTGTTGCAGCCTGAGCGAATGTTACTTCGCGGGGAAGGGCGCGGCGTTGGTGCTGCCGCCGAACGAGCGAGCCCGGCCATCCCGGCGTGTCTCCACGGCAGGATGCGACATACAACAGCACCTCCAGTCGATGTTTTACCTGCTCAGGCCCGAGGAGACATTGAAAATGGTGAGTATAGCGCACATACATGACATACACACTGACTATTTTTTAAATGGATTTACTGCTTCTAAAAAGCAACATTTTTATTCGTACGGAGTAAAAAAACGACTGGATACCACAACATCTGGTACCTAAACATGAATTTGACAGTACTTACTTTACGTCTTCTGTTTGAATCAACTACGTGAAACATTTGCTGTTAAATATTTGTTTTCACTCATCTGTCTCTTTAGCGGTACGAAAGAGCAGGTTTCGAATCAAATGTTCGACAACAATGTGTATAAACCTCGAACTCTTGCGCTTTAGCAATCAATGCTGACACTTTGGGGGTTTTATTCAACGAAATTTGAAGTCATATTTCCGCATCCAACTTTTTCTAGTGGAAAGAAAGCCATTTGTTTACGAAACCGCGCTTCAAGAGTCCTTAATTACGAGGTGCAGACTCGACGCGGCGCGAAGATGATGAAAGGTTAAAAATCGGGTCAATAATTAGCTTTCAGGATGAAAATGGCAGGCAGCTCATCCCATCGCCTCCCTCGCCTGTGCTAAAAACCATAGAGACTCCTAATTCTTGCCCATCCTCGCTACATCGGTGCCTTTCTCTCTCCCCATTTTTTTTTCTATTTTATCCTACTCTTTTTGATTCCTTTCTACATGGTATTAAGCTTCTGCCCCTCAGGCCTTCGAATTACATATGCATGATGGATTCAACTTTCAATCAGCCACCCGACCGCGAGATTTCTAATTTAAAGGATGATGAATTTTTACCTGTAATACCACGTGTTAGCAGCTCATCTTTCCCTATTACATATTATAGCAGAATGCGGGCTTTGATGAGATTTTTTTCCAGTATAAATTTAATCTTCTGGAGTAATAATATGTTTCTTATGATTTTAATGACTCATCATGGATTTAATTGATTTAAAAAAAAAAAAAATGTCAAGGCTGTACTGTTGTTATCAATACATCCCAATAGATATTCGATTATCGACCGGAGACGCCCTTCTCGTCGTCGTGTTTATTTTCAGGTACAGTCCGCTCTGGCACGTATAAGCTTGAAATCACTGGTCTGGATAACTCGTGTTAAAAGTTCTGCACTGTTAGGGTGAGATTACATGGAGTCTGGCAGTCTGCAGACTGTCAGAATCGTGCCAAGTTGAAAATATGTTTCAATATTAATATTTAAAACCTGTTACGTAAGCAAAGAAATAATTATCTTAATACATTTGCATTTCTGTATTAACCAATATTTATGAAAAAAAGGCGACGAAAAACGTTTTGTCACAGTTACATATTGTTATACATACCAGGTTACATCAGTGACCCTACTGACCGACTGTGCGATGTTAACATAAATCTATAAAAAAAGTTATAAAATAATATTTAACGAGTTTTATTGTAATTGAAGTTGATTGTAACTAAGCCTTTATTCTGTTATGACAATAATTACAATTTTTTCTTTATTTTACTAAATTATTCTGAGATGTTATAATTTAAACATAATTTAAACTTAGCGCGATTCTGCCAGTCTGCAGACTGCCAGACTCCATGTAATCTCACCCTTATTCCTCTCCTTTTTCTATTTACAACCAATTAGCTCTATTTGCTCGTAGAGACGGCGTAGCAGTACAGCACCCATGCTGTTCCCGACGACCAAACTTTTTCACTCTGGCAGAGTACCTACTGCACAAAAATATGTACGAGAAGTAACCTTTTTGTTTTAATTGATACGCAGTACCCCCCCCCCCCCTAAAAGCGACTTTCATGGAATGAAACATATTTAAAATATCGTATGTAGTTGTCCGAATTTCTCAAAAAATGTATAACTGCAACGTTGCGTGGATGGTAGAGCTCTAACAAAGAGACACAAAGTTGCTCCTATTACGTTTACTTGTGATAGTTGTGATACAGATACTGTTATACGCTCTCCTGTCCGAGCCATCGCGGCTGAAATACACACATTTCGCCACTGGACTCTCGGTTGGCGAGATCGTTCTGAAACTCCTGCACAGCCAAAGAGATTCATCGGCCTTGTCTCTTCCAGCCTCTAATTGCACCCTCCACTACCAATACACCCATACTAAGGCACGTATATATACCTACGACGCAAACAGCTGATTGTTGTCAATTGTGTGACTAACTGTAAAACCCCTCCTGACCCCCTCTTCCAACATTTGAAGGACACATAGTTTTCGTCGCGCACACTGTACGCGCTGGAGTTAACACCGTCGACAACATCATGCTATCTATCCGTCCGAGTGTATAGCGCGCTTGGTCGGTCGGCCATCCGTCACGTAGCGACCTTGAGCAACGTGTCGCGCTCGCGAGTACAGTTGCGTGCTCGTGTAATAAATCGCTCTTTTCCTGATGAGCCCCTCGCTCATTTTCATCTCTGATGGGCTACTGGGGGGTGGGGGGGAGATCGCGAGTCTTCAGAACTGATACACGTCGTGATGATAACTGCGCTGTAGGGGAGACCGAGGCATATGGACATGTACACGTGGTGCTTTTTCAAATTACCGTGGTATTTTATGTATAGCGACGAGTTGAAATTGTTACGTATATATACACACGAGATTTCGGAGTTCGTTTTTACCCGACCCATTGGGTGAGTGCAGGGGAAGTAGCGATATCACGTGCGCAGGGTCAGTGGTTTCAAGATAATAAAGTTGCAACATCACAATCAGAAGTCTCGAGCTTGGAAGAAAAAGAGAACAACAATACACAGCAGCTGTACAGCAGCGAGTAATAGTACATCGAGTAATATTGAAATTTAACACCTAGAAGAGCCGCGCTATCAGTGTTCGATCTGGAGATCGCGAAAATCTATCTGCATAATGGGGAGCTGTGGCCTATGTGTATACAAGTGTTATTGTGCCGCGCTGCGTATACATGTATAGGTACATATACAGAGACGTGTGCGACTTATCGCCCGTCAAAATCTCAACTTTGCCTCTACTTACGCCCGCACCGGAGCACGATAACCAAGATACTCGTGGGGATTGCTTGCCACTCGATTCTTACAGTCTTTTGCGCTCCGCCGCCTTCGAAACAATTATACGTCGTTAGCGCGATTTTCGCGTTTACGTAACAACCGCAACAAAGGAAAAAAAATAAATAAATAAAAATAAAACAAAAGGACAATATGTGTTTTAGCGACCTTGGGTGTTTCTCCCACCTTCCCTCCCTCTTATGTTTTATCGGCACGCGCGTCGTTTCAATTAGAAAGCCTCATACTACATAGTACACACACCCGTACCACGTAACACACGTAAGTGTAACGGGGGGTAGGTGGGTAGGGGAAGGGGGGCAGTGCGCGAGTTTTAAGTAATTGACTCTACGTTATACCATATCATAAAATACACAGGTACGCTCTCCCGCGGAGAGGATAGAGCCCAAGAGAGATCGCGGGGTTACGATAAGAGGAAAGAATATGAGCGAGGTGTTTCACAAGTGTGTGTGCCTCGTCTATAGCCCGTACGGTATATATATACGCGCGTAGCCTCCCATCGCAAGGAGGAGGGATACCGAGATTTTTCAGCTGGATAACCAAGGGGGTCCGAGTATATAATATTATGTAGGTAAATACAACGTCGTCTTGCGAGCGCGCACAATGGCTTCTCGCGTGGCCTATGGTAACACGAGAATCGTTAACTCGTGAGAGGGTATTTTCTTTCGCCTCCCCCGCCCCTCCCCCTCTCTCTTTCCCTCCGTGCGTGGGTTACACGTGCTCCCACTTACGTCTATTTGCACGACGAAAATTTTAAATGTATGCTAATCACCGGCTCACCCCGGGGTACTTGTTACTTTTATTTCCCGTCACCGAAAGTCCGTTTAGCCGAAAACTAGATGCACATACTTACCTCGAAATAGCAATATGCTTGATTCGTTGATTTTTTTCTCGTCTTTTAATTCAAATTGTTTTACGAGCTCCCACTGTTGCCCCTCTCTCCTGCAGCATCTATTCGTCAACTTTGAGCCATAATTAATGTACCACCACGATGCACGAAGAAACTTGTTTCTCCTTGCCTCGCGAGCGCCACAAGCAACGATTGCAACAACAATAAACGACAGAATAAGAAGAAGAGAAAAAAAAAAAAAAAAAAAAAACACACAAACGCACAAGCCGATAATAATTGTTTCGTTTAAACGCGTGTTTTTTCGCGGTGATTTGCATACGCGCGTGCCTACATAATGCGCTCGCATACCACGCAAGCCCCGTGATTCAGTGCGCGTATGCAGCTCGTGACATATTCGTCAGAGCACGCGTAATGTCCCTCCGCGCCAGCGGTGATACGTATATACTCTGCTGCAACAATGTGCAAGCGTATAATATATATGTCACATATGTATAGCTTCGAGCAGTGCGCGATACGAGCTATCGCGTTAGTATAATGTATATGGCCGAGGGGGAATTTTAAGAGAATACGTATACATACCCACCCGGCTGGATTAGCCGCATTTGCTGATGGTACGTATTATAATTGCCGTGGAAAATTCTCGGATTTTTGCGCGCAAATTGCCATTATTATATTTTCCTGTTGCGCGTATATATTTATTATACGCAAGCCCGAGTTTTTTTCTTTTTTTCTTCCTCCATCCTCACCTCCGTCGAGTGCAGAAAAACACGCGAGGGAACCAAGGAAAAACACGTTTCTTTCATCACTCGCGAGAGAACAGAGTACGCGGTCAATGTTGTATGTATAATGGTCGCATCGCGTGCCGACGCCTTTTTCGACGTTTCCACAATTTCTCGAATCGTACGCATGTATTCAGCCTCGGCCGAGCACTGCATAAGTACGGGGTCCCCGCGATAATTAGCGTGGAATTTGTGCTCGGCCAATGGGTCACTTTCTTATGCGTACACGTATACATATATTAAATACCTGCCTAAATGTGTTTTTGTCTCCGCGCACAAGAGAAACGAGGGAGTTTGACAATTTGTTAGGCCTCCCTCGGCTCTCGCTTGTGTCCCGTAGATCCTGTATACAGCCGGAGGAGGTGAG